TCTGCCTCTCCTCTCCTCGCCTCCGCCTCGCCTCTGCCTCGCCTCTCCTCTGCCTCTCCTCTCCTCGCCTCTCCTCGCCTCTCCTCCGCCTCTGCCTCGCCTCTGCCTCTCCTCGCCTCTCCTCCGCCTCTCCCCTGCCTCCGCCTCGCCCCTGCCTCCGCCTCCCTGGTGCACTGACCGTCCCGCGCTGGGCCTGTGAAGCGCGCCCTGCGGCCCCCCTGCGCCTGTCCTGGGGGGCGGGGCCAGCATTACCTGTGTTTCTAGCATGCATTAACCGTGGAGAGTTTTGTAAGGCTTTATCAACATCATCTGAAGTCAAATGTGGAAGAGGAGCTACAAAACAAAACAGCAACATCAAAATGAAAAAAAAGAGAGAGTTACCTTCCTTAAAAAAAAAGAAAAAGAAAAGAAAAGAGAAAAACACCCCCCGCCCCACCCTAACGGCACTGGCTGCCCGAGAGCTCCCCATGGCCCTGCTCTTGTTAGCGTGTTAAAACCGAGACGGGGGCCCACGTGTGATCCCGGGAGTGAGTGGTGGGGATGCCAGGCAAAGCATTTACACCAGTTTCCACCACCCCACGGTGCCACTGCGCTCGTCTCCCCGACCATGCTCGACGTCTGAGAAAGGAAAGCATGCAGCAGGCTGTGGGTTCATGCCTCTCGTCGCCCCTGCGCCACCTGCTTCTGCAAGGTCCAGCCGCCTCTGTGAGACCAGGGGGAGAGGCCCCTCACATGTTCCAGCGGGACGTGACAGGGGAGTCGGTTCAGCTTTAGAAAAGATAAACCCGCACTCCCCATCCAGTGGGAGCTTTTCCATAGGCCTCTAGTTCATTTGGGGGCACCGTGGAGACAAATGACGTGTGACCAGATAAAGAGTCCTTTCCCTTTGATTTTCTCAGTGGAGGGGACCCTAGAGGAGGCAGCTGAATGCCAAGGTGACCTTCTGGCGTCTTGGAAAAGTGCCGAGTACGCCCCAGCCCGCGTTCAGCTGTCCTATCACCCTCCAAGCGCCCAGTTCTCTAAGATCCTCAGTGGGAGCTGGGTTAGGGCGGAGGTGCTCTTGGCAGACAGAGCAGACTCTGCAGCTCGGGGCAACGAGACCTCGCCCGCAGGGGCCTGTCCCGAGTGGGGCCGTCTTACTCTCTCTGAGGTAGTGGAGGTGGGAGAGTAGGATGTCGGCGTTGTAGCTGGGGGTGAGCCTCTGGAAGTCGTCCTTGGTCATCTTGCACAGCTCCTTGCCGTCGATGTTCTGGAACAGTAAGACGTCCACATCCGGAAGGCCGTACTCTTTCACTGCCCACTCCAGCCACTGTCGCACATGGTCCGTGCTCCATAGCGTGGGATCTGAAAGGGGGTGGAAACATACGAGGATCAACTCCTGGAGACGGATTTTTGGGGCAGAGTCAGGTCCCAGGGGGGCTTCCCGCCAGCCACAGTCCCTGCTGTGGCTCCAGAAGCATGGCCTGGGTCAGGCTCCGGGACAGGTCAGGGCCTGGGCAGGCTCCGGGACAGTTCAGGGCCTGGGCAGGCTCCAGGACAGGTCACAAAGAACGTCTGGGGGAAAGGCAATGCCACCCGCTGACTCACACACATGGATCACTGTCCTTAAAGTGAGCGGTTCTGGAAGCTTAGGCTTCTTCACCCTACCTGCCCCTCTGTTGCTCAGATACTCCAGAGTGTCCTGCAGGGATGGGGGGGTGGAGTGTTCTTCCCCCCCCTCCCCATTTATTTTCATTTTAATTTATTCACTTAAAATAAATATTAGTAAATGGAAAATTTCCTTGGAACACCGCTGGTATCTTTATAAGAAACTATGAGTTAGCGACACATATCAGGAAGATGCTAATTACAGATTACAAAACATCCAAAACAGTATTTATACAAAATACTGAAAAACACCGACCACAGAGTTGGAAAGAAAGTGCAGGGAAGCCAAAACCCTAGCTCCGCCTGGGAGCTGGTATTTCTGAGAGAAAGCTGTCAGTTACACGCTTTTCCTGCGGAGAACTTGGTTTTCAACTAACTCGCACCTGCAGGAACACGGCTGGCCAGGGACTCGCATTCCACAGCTGTGGCGCCCAAACGCCCCCACAGGATGCAGGCAATGTCATCACGCTCCACCGAGTGTGAGGGAGGGGACCCTGGGAGGACCAGGAGGGCAGGGCCCTGGGGAGCAGGAGTAGGCGAGCCCCAACAGAAACACGAGCCAGGACACCCCACCCAACCGCCTGGGGGCTGGGTATTCAGGTGCCCACTGGCGGGTGGGGNGGAGGCCGTACTCTTTCACTGCCCACTCCAGCCACTGTCGCACGTGGTCCGTGCTCCATAGCGTGGGATCTGAAAGGGGGTGGAAACATACGAGGATCAACTCCTGGAGACGGATTTTTGGGGCAGAGTCAGGTCCCAGGGGGGCTTCCCGCCAGCCACAGTCCCTGCTGTGGCTCCAGAAGCATGGCCTGGGTCAGGCTCCGGGACAGGTCAGGGCCTGGGCAGGCTCCGGGACAGGTCAGGGCCTGGGCAGGCTCCAGGACAGGTCACAAAGAACGTCTGGGGGAAAGGCAATGCCACCCACTGACTCACACACATGGATCACTGTCCTTAAAGTGAGCGGTTCTGGAAGCTTAGGCTTCTTCACCCTACCTGCCCCTCTGTTGCTCAGATACTCCAGAGTGTCCTGCAGGGATGGGGGGGTGGAGTGTTCTTCCCCCCCC